CATCACTGGGAATGACCCATCTCTCGAGTGCCACCTGCTGTGATTGCATTGCTGATAGCACCCTGGAAAAAGCTCTTTATGAGCAACCTAAATGCAAGACAGGGCTGTCCTCCAAAACCCATTTTCATTTAAAATGGGTTTGGGGGAAAAATCCAGTTGGAGGAACAAAGGCACCAAAGAATTAATATGAATAAGATTTCTGTTGCTCCAATTGTAGGCCTCGACTTTTTATATTGCAAGAAAGGGGATCTTTGACTAAGCATCAGGAAGCATTTCTGACCGTTTGTTCAACAGTAGAACCGATGGCTTCAAAAGATGGTAGTCCAGACTCTAAAAGTTTTCAGACAGAGGATGAATGGTCACCTGTCACAATTGTCGTAGCAGTCAGTTTCCTGCATCACCCCAGCGGGTGATGAAGCAAGCTGGGAGACGACTGGAGCACAGGTGGAGGAAATCCCAGGACAGGTCAGTCCTCATTCGGTGTCTGGCAGGGCTGCTGGGCTGGATGAGGGCCAATAAATAGCAATACGTTTTGTTTTTGGTTTCCTTCCTTGTAAGCCGTCCAGAGACTTTTTTAGTAATGGATGGCATAGAAAGTTTTTAAATAAATAAATAAGTTCTCTCATGGGGGTGGTGTTTCTTGTTAAAAGTAATGCTGATAAATTGTAACTTCTAACACCATTCTGCATTCTTCCCATTGTATGAAAACAAAATTAAAGGAATAATGTATCTTGTGAAAGTTCAGGGCGATTTAAGGAAGGCTCTGTGACCATTTTTCACTGATAAGAGCTGCTGAAGAGGGCCCTCCACTGCCAAGTTAAACTTCAGGAAAGGGGCCTGTTGTTCTGTGGGTTTTTAAGACAACGGGGCATCAGTTCAGGAGGCACAAATGTTGCTGTTTCCCTTGGCTGCAGCAGAAGCCGGCAAAGGTCCGGGCCCGGAGTGGCCCAGTCTTGCAGCTTGTCATATCACAGTCTCAAGTTGCCAAGGTTTCTAGAGGAGGAATTCTTCACAAATGAAACATGTCTTCTCTCTTCACCCGCCAAGCAGGTCCCAATCAACACTGCCAGCACAGGAGCTTTCAGCAAACGGCCACAGTAGCTACGCAGCTGCTCACCCTGCTCCCATCCTCCATGCAACCATGCCTTTAAGCCATTTTTTCCCCTCTGGGTGGTTTACAAAGCACCCCAGTCTGTCCATTAAAAGTGCCCCGGCAGATTTGCTGGACCTGCAACTGCAAGTTTGATCCCTAGAGGGCACCACTGGGGTGTGGGGGGGGGGGTTGGGTGGCAGGTCCAGGGATCCACACCCACAGGCGATGGTTGCAGAAGCAAATACTGATGGATTCCTATAGTTATGATGGCCCTATGATTCAGTAGGTTAGTGTGAGAAGCCACACATGCTTGGAGTATCATTATTAACAGAACGGGCCTTGAGAACAATTTTGTTGTCGTTTGAAAGCACTCTTACTTTGTTTAGAGACATGTAAGTGTCACAAATAAATAAATAAATACAAGAAAGTTGAAACCGTGGCCATGCAAGGGGTGGGGGCTGGGGACAAGGGGGAAGAGAAATGTTAGTTGGGTGCTTCATAACTGAAATAATACCCAAGGCCACCTAAAAGGAGTTCTCAGATGTCAGAGATCTTAAAATTACATGGGGCCCCCAGGGCACTAGTCAGGCATTAAATCCCATCAAAATTAATGAGGTAAGTTAGCCAAGGCTACCTAACGTCATTGAGTTCAACTGGACTAAAATATGAGAAGGTTCCCCTGGGAGGGAGGGAGTGGGGTGGGGGTTTGTTTGCGACATGTAGTGCAGCCCTCAGTAAGCACAGAACATGCAAAGCTGCAATCGTGCTCCCATAATATGCCAATTAATTTGATGCATGGTGCCAGAGAAAAGGAAGAGTTTGAAGGGCACCAGGAAGGATTCTGGATGAACTTCTGTAAAAAATGAGTGATGGGCATTAAGGCATAAGATTTCTGCTGAGATTCCTCATGAGTAGCGTATAGTTCATGCAGCCCTGTTTTATGTACTTGTTTAGCACTAAGAGGCTGGAGCTGATGATTAAGCGGGTGTGCATGGAATGCGGAAAACAGATTCATCCGTGAAAAACTCTGCAAGTGGAGCATCACAGAACCCAGTTGCGGGCGCTGCCATGGGTGCGCACCTTTTTCCTATGTCTAATTTCCCCTCCTCCCCTAGGCTGGTGTAGATGTCCTCAGATTCTAGACTTCTGGATCGATGTTGGCCATAAACACAGGAGGAAAACGTGGCAGTTGTCTTATTATTGATGAAGGAGAGAATGGGGAGATTCCAAGAGAACAGCAAAGACTGGTCTTGTGTAGGATAACACAGCTGGGCCCAATCTCTGGCTCTAAGGTGTTGACAGTGTCAACTGGCCAATTTTATGGACTGTATCTTTTCATCAAATGTTGGTTAGAAAAACCCCACTAGGCTCCTGCTCTTGTTTTCTGTTCTCATGCCCTGATAAAGTAGATTGCATCTTTCTATGCAGGTATTTCAGGTCACTTCTGGACAGGTACAGTCTGGTGTGAGTATTTGTTGGAGTTTTAATCAAGCCCAGACCAGTTGGCTGCCCAGCCAGCAACCTTCATGTGAATGATAAATCAGGATGAAGGATTCCATTCCTCTTAATCATAATCATCAGGCACAATGAGTTTTCCTATGGCTAACTTTGCAACTAAGCCTAGAAATAATAACAGCCCCCAAATTAAGCAAGCTACTATTCCCAACATGCCCAGTTTGTCCCTTCACTGCTATCCAGAATTCTGCCACCAAAATCACCCATTTCATAGATTGGAAGGGACCATGGAAGTCATGTGGTGAGGAGAAACTAGTGATTCTTTTGTGCATAGAGTTATCTATGGCATTCCAAGGTGCTGAACCTATTTTGGGGATCAAATTTGGCACTATTGATCGCTTCTACAAACTCAGAGTAAACACTGCAACGGTTGAAAAGACCCATAGCACAAGAGTCACCATGCTTGCCTGCATGCTGGGGTAGTCAAGCTCTTTTGGGTCCAAATTCCATTTTGGAGATGCCACTGGGGATTGAGTGGGGCCCAAGTTTTAATTTTGCTTAAAGTTCCTATCGCTTGTAACAAAGGCTTAGGAAAAGCAACTCATTCTATGAGAATGGGACTATTGGGACTGCCCACAAACCAGAAAACCACAAAGGGGGTTGGGGAAAAGAAGGGGCAGCTGGGGAACCCCAGAAGGCTGGCTTTAGCTCCAAAAACTGAGGTTAGAAACATCGAACAAAGTGAGTCAGAAGGGACTTTCAGCGCCATCTAGCCAATTTTTGTTTTTGTTTAGTCGCTAAGTTGTGCCCAACACATCACAACCCCATGGACAACATTCCTCCTTACTTTGGAAGCAGGGAATCCTGCACTTACTTGAGTTTCTGCCAGTTTTTTCTGCTTTTAAAAGGCACTGAATCCAGTCTGAGAGGAAGTTTCCAGATTGTTTGGTGCTTTGGGAAAACAGTGGCAATACTAGAAGAGAAGCCTGTCAATATCAGTGGCAAATAATAGGTGTGTTCTTAATTGACAGAAAATAACACAGTGGGAGGATGAACATCTTTTATCGGTAAAATAATTTGCAACTCACTTGCAAAAGACACAAGCACACACCTTCTACTGTATGCGCTACAATTCTGCGACCGCGGCAGGACTCGAACCTGCAATCTTCTGATCCGAAGTCAGACGCCTTATCCATTAGGCCACGCGGCCACACTTGCGAGACACTCTCCGCTCGACCTATAGGAAAGCGAAGGAGTTGAGCTGGGTTTGAACCGAGTTGGAATATACTATTTCTTATAGAAGCTGAGGGAGTAGAAGCTGAGAAAGGGGAACCAAAACCGGTTTTCTCCAACCTTTTTTCCTTCTCCGAGTTCTTTTTGCCCCCAGCTGCTGCCTGAGGATTTTCAGAACTCAAGAGGGAACATTTTCCCTTTCCTTAGCTGTTATGCAACCCCCCGCGCCGGGCGAGACCACTACGATGAGGACGTCAAAAAGATTCGCCCGCCAGAGGGAAGCACGTGGGAACCGTTGCTAGGGTCGAGTATTTCCTGTTGGGGGTGGGTTTCATAAGGAGGAAAGATAAAGGTATGGGTCGTTCTTTGCCTTGCTACCGATCGTGGCGGGGGGAGGGGGCTAGTTCACTGAGTGGAGACGTGCTGGGGGGCGTTCATTGTCAGGTGGATATGCGAGGAGTGGTCGTCAGTCGGCTCTGAGGGTGGAGGAAGGACAGCGAGGGAGGAGCGAGCGTTCGTTTCTCTGGGCAATAGGAGGAAGGGAAAGGAGCTTCATGGAGGGCTTGGCAAGCAAGCAGGAGGGTTAAATTTTGTGCGTGGTGGTGGGGAAACAGTTTGGGCATCCCTTCTTGAGTGGGGGCGGAGAAGAACCAATGAGAGTACAGACCAAAAAAAAGCCCTACCACGTCCAGCACGTCTCTTTGCTTCTCTATTTAAACTTGCATAGGTTCCTCCTTACCCGTTTAAGCTAAAAAAAGCTTTCCCCAGCGTATTGCTACGCACTTAGAAATCAAATAATCGTTCGATCCTGTGCAAATTTTGAGAGAGGAAAAGCCTACCCTTCCCAGCAGGAGCCAGCCATGTTGCCTCGCTAGACATGCATAGAATTGCACTGTTAGTTAGTTTTGGGAGTGGAAAAAGCGCTGCCATTTGGGGAGGGAGATAATCTATCAACCTGTTTCGATGGTGGGAAAATGAGAAGTAGTAAATGGGTGGTGGCAGGGGGCGGGGAGAATAGCCTATTTTTATTTGCATTTTTTTGCAGTAAATGCGCTGTTTGAGATCATGATTTGAAGAGAGGAACCATCATTGTTTCTGTTTTGAGGAGAGGAGGAATAAACCACATTTTATGGTAAGGGGTGCGATAGCCTGCAGCTATCTTCTTGTGGTGGGAGGGGAATAATTAGTTTCTTTTAATAGGGAGGGCTGGCAGAGTGAGTAAATGGAGTTTGGCGTGGGAGGAAGAATTGGTAAATTTTCTGGGTGGCAGCAGCCTGTGGACAAACATATATATTTGTGTACATTCGGAAAGCGTCTGGACTCATTTGTGGGAGGAGAGTAAGCATTTGGACAGGAAGATTAACTGCTGATTTTGTTTCTGGGAGACGATACGAGAATAGCCATGGAGAAATTGGAAAGTTGCAACCTTTGTGGTGATGTCTTTTGTTCTCTTTAGCTTGGGGAGATAGAAGTTGATTGTGGCACTGCCTCTACTTTGGAGATTTGGGGGGTTGAGCATTGTAAGCTTAGGTGATGGGCAAGGAGTTCTAACCATTAGGCTTGTGTGTGCAAAGATTTATGAATAATTGAATATAAATAATTATTTATTGTTGTCCTCCAGCTGGTAAAATACAATTCTTGGTGTCACTGATGCTTAAAGCTTTGCAACTCAAATTTGGGAATTTTCCTTTGTATAAAGATTGTGATCTTGGATTTAGAAACGTGAATACTGGTAGTTAGGAATTAGAAATATTTTACTAGCGTTTCTGAACTGGTGTCTCACAGGATCCATTACTTCCAGAGATTCTAATCCTAGATCATATTATTTGTCATATTTTATTCTGTCCATCTTCCAAAGAGTGGGTGTGGTTTTTACCCACCCCAATGCTCTCAGCAATATTAGGATTTCAATGATGGATATTGACTTGACCAAGATAATTCAGCAAGCTTTGTGGCTGAAGAGAGTTTTTAATTTGGGCATCTGTCTTCTAAGTCTGGAATGCTGTCTAGGCACCATATGACTTAACCAGTGTCTGAGATACCAGAGTATTTAGCAACTGGGACAGGTAGATGAAACAATACCACACTGACCTTGCCACTTCTTCTGCATCTCCTGTTTGCTCCCATTATAGATCTGAACTATCAAGAAGAGCAGGCTCGTATGTCCTCCTTGTTGGTCGTTTCTGATGAAGATGAAATGTTTGATGTGGAAGATCCCACCGGCAGGTCCATTAATCTTACGGAGACTGCAGAGATGGTCTTCAGGTTCTTCTGTCAGCCATGTAGTTCAGGAGGAAAAGTTGCAAGATGCTGGCACTGTCTCCAGAGAGCAGCGCATGAATCCCCTAGGCATCCAGATGCTCTCCAAGAACCTTCATGAACAGATTTTCCGGGGTGCTCGGGTAGAGTATTCAGATGAAGACATCAAGAAGAGCATAGAACACTTGCAGAAGCATGACTTATGGAGCAAAGAGACTTCCACCATTCCTGATGTGGAGCTACAGCTGCCCCATATGTATGGGGCCAACATAGATGAACACTTCCGCATTTTGGCACAGAAGCAGAGCTTCCCATATCTGGAGGCTGCTAAGGAACTTCTGCAGTGTGAGATCCCACCAATGCCTTTGGAGTGGGCTTGGGAAGTGGGATGGACAAAATACGGACCCAGTGGGGAGAAGAAAGCTGTAGCTTTCCCTGATGAGCGATCCTTGGTTTTTGATGTGGAAGTGTGCGTGGAAGAAGGGCATTGCCCCACACTTGCAGTGGCCGTCTCACCAAATGCCTGGTAAAATGGCAAAAACTTTGGCATCGTGGAAGGGAGAATAGGAAGCTGCCTCATACTGGATCCAGTTCATCGAGTCCAGTGCTGCCTACACTGACTAGCAGTGGTTACCACAGCTTCAGGCAGATGGTTTTCCAGACCTATTTGGAGATGATGGGTTGAAATGGGGACTTCCTTTGTGAAAAATATACTCTACTACTGAACTGTAGGGCTGAGTTCTTGTTCCTACAAGCCGTATGCAAAGTCTGACAATGGCCAGGACTCACAGGGCACACAGGCAGTGCCCTGATGCTTCTAAAGGAAGCGCCTCAAAGCTCTTTGACAAACACTATTCCTAGTCTTTCCAAGAGACCACTGCTCATTTCTGCCTTTAACTCCTGCACCAGTGCCAAGGAGCTTTAATTCCATACTGCCATCTTTTCTTTCTGAGTTCCTCTGTTTATAGAGGAACAATAGGAAGAGAAATGTGTCCCTGTGGGTTCTTGTGCAGAGTGAGGAGTAGTCTTTCATGGCCTGGCCCTGCTTCCACTCCCTGTACATGTTCTTTTTTCCTTTCAGGGTGTCACCTAACCTTTTGTGGAGCCACATGGGCTTCCTCTGTTGTCTTCTGCACTTTTTTCTTGATGGAAATGTTTATAGTAGTGCTTCGAGAATCTTCTTCTTCAAGATTCCCCATCCTTCTTGGACTCCTTTCCCCTTAAGGGTGTGTTGCCATGGCACTTCGCTTATCATTTTTCTGAGTTCATTAAAGTTGGCTTTCTTGAAGTCCTGGAGGCTTGTTTGGCTCCAGTTACCCTTTGTCTCCTTTATAATTGAGAATTCAAGTATCACTTGGTCACTTTCCCCTGGAGTTCCCATGTTAGTTAGTATTAAATTGAGGATAGCTGATCCTCTCCTGCCTTCCTCTACTTTCTACTAGAGAAAGTTGTGGGCAACAGATCTCAGGAATCTCTTGGAGGGGCCATGCTTGGCAGAATTTGTCTCCCAACAAATATCAGGGAAATTGAAGTCCCCCATGATGACTGCATCATTTGTGGACATACTGGCAAGTTGCTTTCGAAGGTTGCGTCCTTGTCCTCTTCTTGACTGGGTGGACGGTAATATATGCCAACAACTATGTTGTTCCTATTTTTTGCTCCCTTTAAATTTAGCCAGAGGCTTTCAATGGGGCTACTAAGTTCTTCTTGAATTTCTGTGCAGATATGTGTCTCTCACATATATGTGTATGTAAACTAGCTCTTGCTTTCTCCTTTAGCTGTTTCCAAGGCTGCTGAGCTGACTGGCTATTACTGCAAAAAATTACTTATGTGAATTTGCCCAGTCGTTAATCATACTAGTGCAACTATTTAAAACATCTGGTTTGCTGGAGTAGTTAAAATATGAAGACACTTAAGTGATAGGAGCACATGTGGTCTTAAACGTGTTCTAACAAGACTTACTTCCTAGTCAGCATGCTTAAGGCAGTGCAAGTAAAAAGTTATTGCTGTTATTATGTTACATAATAATAATAATAATAATAATAATAATAATAATAATAATACATTTCTATACTGCCCATAGCCAAAGTTCTTTGGGTGGTATCTTGTACTGAATCATGCACTCAAGTCACCCATTCAGATTCTAACCAGACCCGACCCTGCTTAGTTTCAAGTTTAGGGAGAATCAGGCACTTCATGCTATATGGAAACTAAAAATTTGAGCTTGCTATAAAACTACAAGAGCCAGGAGAAGTTGTCTGATATGCTCAGTATTTAATTTGTTTTTCATTCCTGTGCTGGAAACTTGCTATGAAATTCTTAAAAATGAAGAGGAGCTCTGGTTCCCAGTCTTGCACTGAGAAGAGTACTTTAGTGCTCATAGATGTGAGTATTTTGAAAGTAAATTCATTTGTTCCCTAGGTACTCATGGTGTAGCAAGAGGCTGTTACAGGAACGGTACACCTGGTCCAGCAAGCTGACTCTTTCAGACCTCATCCCCCTGGAAACAGGCAGCAGTCTTGCCAAGCAGGAATGGCAAAAGAGGCTTGTGGTTGGTCACAATGTCTCCTTTGACCGTGCGCACATCAAAGAACAGTACTTGGTACAGGTAAGTCATTCTGCTTGGCGCATCTGTCCATTTCTTCCACTTGCTTTCTAATTGCATACCTAGCAAATGGCCTGAAGGATAGATGCTTGTGGCAAAATTATTTATTATTATAGCTGCAAGAAGTGTTAGGAAAATGGAAGGCACACCAGAAAATAACAAGATACACATAACTGCTTGTCATAAAAAGACAGCATATCAGCAGTGTCAGTATTTCTCGTCAGAAATACCAGTCAATAGACACGCAGGCCAGATCTCTGTCAGAAAGCACTTTATCAGTGAAGGCTAGCCCCATGACTGTTGGGGGTGGGGGGGTGGCGTCTGTAACGTCCCTGGTTGTATCTGCTGCTGCATACAAAACATTTTTTCCTGGTTGTTCACTTGATTCAACTCCAGAACTTCCAGTTCTGCTGCAGCCTTGTGTCAACCTCTGTTACTCTTTATCCTTTGGAAAAGTGCCATGAGAAGCTACTTTTACAAGTGAGATGCAGTGCAATAGGAAGAGAAATGCTTAAGATTTCCAAGATCTGATACTTTTCTGCTGGCCAGAGTTAGTGGCCCACATTTGCATCGCCGGGAACCCAAGTTAAAGGAACTGGTGAAGCAGCTTGAAGGGGAAAGGGACAGGTAAGGGGACGGTTATGTGCTGTTCTTCTTTTCTCTGTTCCAGTTCAGGGGAAGAGTAGCAGCCAGGATTTCAAGACATCAGGGTGGAGGTAGAATGTAGTTTGGACACAAACCATATAGCAAGAATTTAATCTGATGAAACCTGTCAACTTTTGAACTGTTTGCTTGTTGCCCTCCTCCCTGCTTGCAATTCTTCCTAAAGTATTTGCTTGATCTCTGTTGGTTGCTGGGATAGTATACTAGCTGTTCAATTGACCTGCCCTGGCATAGCAATACATATGTAATGCTTCTTGATCTTCCAGGCTACCTCCCTCTTATTTCTGGTCTTGCTTTGACTGTGGAAATTAAAATGATTATTTCAGGGTTCCCAGATGCGTTTTCTGGACACCATGAGTATGCATATGGCGACCTCAGGGCTGACAGGATTCCAGCGCAGCCTCTGGATGGCGGCAAAACATGGCAAGAGGAAAGGGCAGCAGCAGGTCCAAGAGCATATTAAGAAAATGCGCAGCAGAACTGACGGCCCCGTGGTGAGTTGAGGGGCAGTGAAGAGCATCATGTTAACTCCGCCACTAGGAGCGGTCTGAAGTATATTAGCTGTCTGCCGCTTCGGCTTAGATCTGTGGGGCCTGCATGGCAACAATGCTAGGTAAGAAGCAGTATATAACCGTGTTGGGAAAAAATGAGCCAGCATATGATACGAGCCAACGTATAGACATAATGAGCTGAGGAAAAACAGGTGTGTTTTTTACTTTTACTCTGAAAAAAGGTGGTGATTGGTATTTGTGATATCAGAACTGACCCTGCTTTGTTGTTGTTTAGAGTCATGCCCAACCCATCACACTCCCATGGACAACATTCTTCCAGGCTCTCCTGTCCTCCACCATCCCTCAGAGTCCACCCAAGCTCACACCCACTGCCCCAGTCACCCAGTCTAGCCACCTCAAACTCTGCTGTCCTCTTCTCCTTTTGCTGTCAGTTGTTCGCACCATCAGGGACTTCTCCAGTAAGTTGTTCCTTCTTATTAGGTAGCCAAAGTATTTGAGTTTTATCTTCAGTAAAGGGCAGTCACAGTTGATTTCCTTTCTTTGCAATCCAAGAGACTCTCAGGAGTCTTCTCCAGCACCATATTTCAAAGGCAGTAATTCTTCAGTGCTCAGTTTTCCTTATGGTCCAGTTCTCACAGCCATACATTGCAACTGGGAAAACCATAGCCTTGACTATATGCACTTTTTTTGGCAGGGTGATGTCTTTGCTTTTTAGTATGCTGTCTAGATTTGCCATAGCTTTCCTCCCCAGGAGCAAGCGTCTTTTAATTTCTTGGCTGCAGTCCATGTCTGTGGTGATCTTGGAGCCCAGGAAAATAAAATCTGTCACTACCTCTATTTCTTCCCCTTCTATTTGCCAGGAAGTGAGAGGACCAGATGCCATGATCTTAGTTTTCTTAATGTTGAGTTTCAAGCCAACTTTTGCACTCTCCTCCTTCACCCGCA